CTTATTCTCCTAAGTGAATAAGTTGACTTCACTTTTATTTTCGAGATAAAATACTTTTAAAAATCATGGATTTTTTATGTGGCCCTAATACCCTGTTGTGTGTAAAACACGTTGGCTTTGTTTGGCATTACTTTGCTAATGTTAGCTTGCGCTGCTAAAGAACAACTCATCATCTATATCTCAGAACTGAGCTATAAGCCTTTGTTACTGAGCTAAAGTAACAAAAAACATCACCACCTCGCCAATAGAAAACTTCTAGTTACTCGGTTACTGTGGTTCTTGACGGCCACAAGTTTATTACCCAAGTTTATCATTGGGGTAATATTGCCAAGGGGACCTTGTGGTGGGTTATTGTGTGTTACTTGTAACTTAGCTGTCAAGCATCATTGACCCAAGCTTTTTAGAGAGGGTGTTGCTGCCATCTTTCTCCAGGTAGCCTATTATGTAAATTAAATGGGGCAGGAATTGTTGACTGGTAAGATTTCCCATTTTTAACTTTACATCCTGTTGATTTTCTGTGCCTACTGATTGAGGAGGTATCAGTCTTAAAACAGATCACCAAGAACTATGTTAGACTTCAAATAAAGATGTATAGAACATAATGTAGTTTGTACTATATAATATCATATTAAAAGTGCATGTGATAACTAACATTTTGTGATTGTTTAGGTCTGCTCAAATATTCCTATTTTTCTGCTCCTAGTGGCCAAAATTTATCAACGACATTTAAAAGACTAAAACAGAAAGACAGTCTTTCTCTCTGCCTTGTCCAGTGATCCTTTTTGCCATCTTTAGCCTCCAGATGAACATTTGTTGAAAAACATACACTCACCGGCCACTTTATTAGGTACACCATGCTAGTAACGGGTTGGACCCCCTTTTGCCTTCAGAACTGCCTCAATTCTTCCTGGCATAGATTCAACAAGGTGCTGGAAGCATTCCTCAGAGAGCTTGGTCCATATTGACATGATGGCATCACACAGTTGCCGCAGATTTGTCGGCTGCACATCCATGATGCGAATCTCCCGTTCCACCACATCCCAAAGATGCTCTATTGGATTGAGATCTGGTGACTGTGGAGGCCATTTGAGTACAGTGAACTCATTGTCATGTTCAAGAAACCAGTCTGAGATGATTCCAGCTTTATGACATGGCGCATTATCCTGCTGAAAGTAGCCATCAGAAGTTGGGTACATTGTGGTCATAAAGGGATGGACATGGTCAGCAACAATACTCAGGTAGGCTGTGGCGTTGCAACGATGCTCAATTGGTACCAAGGGGCCCAAAGAGTGCCAAGAAAATATTCCCCACGCCATGACACCACCACCACCAGCCTGAACTGTTGATACAAGGCAGGATGGATCCATGCTTTCATGTTGTTGACGCCAAATTCTGACCCTACCATCCGAATGTCGCAGCAGAAATCGAGACTCATCAGACCAGTTAACGTTTTTCCAATCTTCTATTGTCCAATTTCGATGAGGTTGTGCAAATTGTAGCCTCAGTTTCCTGTTCTTAGCTGAAAGGAGTGGCACCCGGCGTGGTCTTCTGCTGCTGTAGCCCATCTGCCTCAAAGTTCGACGTACTGTGCGTTCAGAGATGCTCTTCTGCCTACCTTGGTTGTAACGGGTGGTTATTTGAGTCACTGTTGCCTTTCTATCAGCTCGAACCAGTCTGGCCATTCTCCTCTGACCTCTGGCATCAACAAGGCATTTCCGCCCACAGAACTGCCGCTCACTGGATATTTTTTCTTTTTCGGACCATTCTCTGTAAACCCTAGAGATGGTTGTGCGTGAAAATCCCAGTAGATCAGCAGTTTCTGAAATACTCAGACCAGCCCTTCTGGCACCAACAACCATGCCACGTTCAAAGTCACTCAAATCACCTTTCTTCCCCATACTGATGCTCGGTTTGAACTGCAGGAGATTGTCTTGACCATGTCTACATGCCTAAATGCACTAAGTTGCCGCCATGTGATTGGCTGATTAGAAATTAAGTGTTAATGAGCAGTTGGACAGGTGTACCTAATAAAGTGGCCGGTGAGTGTAGATCTTTCACCTGTCTACTTTCCTTGCAATCACTGAAAACGTCAATGGCACAAACCTGCCAGGGGAATTAAATTCAATATGTATGCAGTCCATGCTTGTCGGCCATCAACATGTGATATTTTTTTGATAAAGGTTTTAAGCTTATCTTCAAAAAGTAAACAAACAAAAAAAAAAGCAAAGAGTAATTTCTCAGCATATGAAAGGATTGATTTTCACTCTGACAGCCAGTTAACCTTCACATTATTTGCTACATTTGTTCGCTCGGCTGTACGGTCCAGAAACTTCTTCAGCCCGCAAAGCGTTCTCAGACGTTTTTGTGCAGAGGCAACGTGACACAACAACAAAAGAAGATTAACTTCACACCATCTACTGGATCAAGTCAAGATGTCACCTCCAAATCTAAGAACGTAAAGCTCATTTCTGAAGTGTGACTGACACACACGCACATGCGCACACAAGCACATTACCACACAAAGCATGCTCAACACACACTCATAATAAACACTCCCACAAACACACTGATAAGGGATTCTAAATCTGGGCTACAGTGATATGGCGGTCCCTCTGACAGTTCATCTATTGTGATTGTGGGGGAAAACATTCATTGCTAGACATCGCTATTTGTTTCTCTAGTTTTTCCTCAATATATCAATAGAATTTTCACAAGACATTAAAAAGGGTGCATAAAAAGCAAACGTGGCTTAAACACATTTAAATTTATATGAGCAAGAGGTTAAGACATGTGAAATTAGAAGATAAAAAGACCAGATTAATTAAAATAAAGTACAGAGTGACAAGTAGGATTGAGGCATATCTCTCAGGTCCATGACACAGACTCTTTGATAAGAATAGAGGAAATATTCAAACACATTTGATGAGGGTTTCCATGTTCTGTGCAGCACATTATCTTTGTAGTGTACCCTACACGTTACATAATGTAATGAGACATATTCAAGTATGACCCTATGCCAGCGAGTATTTGATGGGATCTTGTCTGTAATCCAGTTCAAAGGATTGGTTTTCCTGCCACAGTTAGCATGTTGTGGATTTTCCTTTTATATTTTTCAGTGATAAGGCTGTTTGATATGTCAAATGGAAAACATGAAGGGTCACTATTCATGCTAATAGATGATGTGGTAATTGTTTCTCTTTTTATATTTTTTGAGTATATTATGGACAGAATTTATAGAGCTGCCTGCTGTGTTACAAAAAAAAAAAGAGCTCAGAACCTTTTGACTGTCATTGGTGATCCTTCATGACAAAATCTCTCACCAGAGGCCTTTTGATATGTTAATGTTCAGCTAGTTGACTAAAAGACAATAAAGTGGGCGCATCAACTCAAATATTGCTTTATTTGCCCAAATCTGGAAACCACTGTTATTCTAAGCAGTGAAAGAAACTCAGTGAGACCTGCCGTTATGTTTCCTGATAGTTTGCCATGATCAAATGGTGCTAACTGCGATTGGGTTGGAACAAGTAGACTTCAATGATCTAATATTTTCAGGAAGTAAAAGGTTTAAAACTGGCATTTGCAGGGCTCTGTTGCAACTTTCTTATCACTGTTCCGGGACTCACCCAAAAAATCTGTAACGGCTGTACCAAAACAAACCTTAACTGACCCAAAATTGAAATGTGCATCTTTACTTTTATATCAGCTGTAGTTGTCGCTGTTATTAGCTGTATTAGTTGTAGCTTCTTTGACTGAAATTGGCTCAATTAGCTGACGGCACTATGAAGCCATTGAGGGTAAGTAAGCACGGTCAAACACCACAAGACTGTATGAGCCTATGGTTACAAATAGCTAACAGCAAACCGTTGAGTTAGCAGCTAATTAGCTTTCCTGAAGCAAACTTGCACAAAGATATGTGTCAGCAACCCTTGTCAACAGTAAGTTTACAGAGTCCTTTTTGGATCAGTTGTGTGTGATTGCCTATGATAACTCATTTATGCTAATACCTGACGCGTGCACACTCCGCTGTATGCCACACATATGTATGCTGATACATATGAGTCTAAGGTGGAGCCACTTAAGAAAAAACGTCATTTTTAAGGTTTGGCGGCTTTTATTTGGCCACAATTAATTGCTTTTAGGGAAAAACCTGCAAGAGGATGGTTTCTCTGAATGTGTGAGGTCACTATGTTGAAGAATGGGAGCAAACTGGCTCTAAGTGTCTGTTAATCAGATGGATGATTTGTCAGGACTGCCGCCATGGGAAAGGCCAGACATTTACATATAACTGAGAAAATAATCTGTTTATATTAACCATTTATATTAAGGACAAACTGTGGGTGTGAACGCTGTAGAGAGTTTCTGTTTAGGACTTACAACTCCTTAGATTCTGGCACCCAACAACACAATACAATGACATTTAACTTCTTTTATGCTACTTTCTACCTTATGGTATTGATTCATGTTTGTCTCCAGTTTTGTGCCTCCATCTAGTTCAGTGCGAGCAGCATAACATTGATCCTAAAAGGGTGTACGCAATACATGACACAAAATAATTATATGTCAAACCTGCAGCTTCAACCTTTGCAAAATTAAGTGTACACCTAGGCAGTTGTTGAGGATCGATCTCTTTTTACTCCTGTATTTAAAAGCGTAATAAGATGCTAAAATGTAAACCCATATTGAAAGATCTACTTCATACTATGGCACAAACTTCTGTTTAAAACTGTATTTGAAATGTTGTTTTTCATGGACTCCTGCTGTTCTTTATGACAGGATATTACTTATGGTCCGATTGAAGGACAAGACTTGCTATCTAAAATACCATCCAATGTTATTTGATCTTATCATTTTATCTTCAAAGCTTCATCACAAATTGAGGTATTTAAACCTTTTCAAAGAGTCTTAAGAAGAAAATGTCAGCATCTGTGGACACTTTTATCTTTTTTTTTCAGGATAACTGCAGATTTGAATTGTGAGATTAGGGTTCAATAAAGAGGACCACATTCTGTACGTCTCTTTACAATATTTATTCTTAAAAATGAGTAAGCAGACAGTTCCTGTGTCCTGTGAATACCAAAATGTGTGTAGAACAGTAAAGAACAGTAAAACACCTTTCATTATATTTCTATAACAAGATCTTTTGAGCGGCATATCAAAAGTCAAAACAAAGGATGTATTTTTTTTTTAATACAGCAAAATTTTTAAAACATCTTCCATCTCGAGAAACAGACCACAGATTTCTAAAAAGAGATGTAAAAATATACATCAACACAATCAGTGTTAAACAGCAGGCTATACTTTTCTGATGCACACATCTATTAACTTGCACAAACATCAGTGAGGAGGTGATAATGTCATAATGCATCAAAACCAGAGGGACCAATCACTTGTTTTAGGAGGGTGTCACAGCTTAGACAGGAGGGGCTTCGGTCATTAATCACTTCCTCGATTTCCCTCATTACTTCCTCGATCATGCACTTCCTCAGCTCATCAACCCCTTATTTCTTTCCCTGCTCTCTTTGCCTCCTCCTGAAAAACTGTAAAAAGAGAAATTTGGGTGTCACCCCCTCTAGTGCATTCCTCTGATTGCATTTTCATTAGGAAACAAAGACAAAGGGAAGGAAAATGATGGGAAGCAGGAAAGCTAGACGAAGAAAGCAAGGAAGGGAGGTGGGAAAACTTGGGAGTCATTGGAGCGGTGATAGGATGAGGCTGTAATGGACTGAGATTGATCTGAACAACGAGACCAGCTCATTGATTCTCACCACAATTAAATAGATGACAGCAACAAACTGTGTTCCCCCCCTACTCCCAGAGGAGCAAAAATTAAAGATCTATTTCATCCCCGAGTGAGATTTACAATGTCAGGACAAAGGTCATGGAAACACTAATCACTATCCAGACTATCTCTAATATATAGGTCTGTGACAAACTTACTCAAGATTCATTTAAGGCTTGTGACATTGCTCTCCATGAGGCAGAGAGAAGGCGAAGACAGAAACATTATAGGGGAGGACAAACAGAGGTCAAAGCTGAGAAAGAGAGACAGCAGGAGAAAACAGAGAAGGGAAAAGAAAGAGAGGGGAGGAGCAGACAGATGAATTTGAAAATGCTCATCTGATGGGTGTCCATCCTCTCTTCTACAGGCAGAGGGGAAATAAAAAAGGGGGGAAGGGGGGCACATCTGTCTGTCACTCTGTGTTAGACTCAGCATAATTACTGTGAAATGACAGAGAGACACTACTTATAGGATGGCAGCTAAAGGAGAGAGGTGTTTCTAGACTCGCCCTGCAAGTCAGTCACTGCTGTTTTGTGGATAGGCAACTATATGTGGCTCAAAACTGGAGATAGGAAATTAACCAAGTCCTAAACTGATGAGAATGAGTTTAAAGAGTATCTGCACTCAGGATTTTTATCCCTCATCTGTAAAAATGACTGAAAAATCTTAAACACTGGTGCTATCGAAGTCACCACAGCCCTCAAGATCCAATATGCTTTAACATGATGATCAACAACCTTGTAAAACTATTCAATTACATCCAGTAAGCTGTTTTTTTTGCCTATGTTGCTTAGCAACAACATTGATTTCAAGTGAACAAGAACAACCTAAGGCCCAAAAACACTCCACAGCCCTCACAGTCACGATTGGCAAAGTTATTGACCAATATTTAAATGGACAAACTCTATATACAAATGGTACTTAGGGAAGGCCCCCCTGTAGCCCACTAGCACGAATTGCAGTCTTCCTCTTTACACACAGAACTGTGTGAAATGGTCCCCAAGCTGCTACATCTTATTCCCATTTGGGTACCTAGTACCTAAAGGAGAGGCACAGCACTTTGCCAATAAATTTACACCGTAAACCTTTACAACACAACACAAAGTGTGTAAAGGCTGTGACACAAGTGTGAACAATACTGACAAGGTACCAGAACAAGTTTTTACCAAATATGTGATCAAACAAGTTTTAAAACATTAATTGTTAGAATAGAAAGAAACAGCTGTTTTAGTCACGATGTTAATGAAAAACAACAAATGTGTTAACAAAGTTTGTGCAAACAGAAGCAGACTATAATCGTGTGATAACTTTTCCTTTTTTTCCTTTTTTTGTACAAAACAAAAATAACACTCCCAGTCATTTGTTTCTTTTCCTGTTTTGTGTAGTGTGTGTTTTTGTTTGCTGTAGTTTTCTTGACTTATTGTAAAGACGGCGGGCAGCTTGGGCGGTCAGTTGGGCAGTCAGCCGGATGGCCAGTTAGAAATGCGTCTCCTTCTCTGAGATGGTGGATATTTTCCCATCAACCTTGAGTTTGGCATCATTGGCAGCATAAGGACTGAGAGCAGCGTGTTTCCCTCTCATTTTCAGGTCTCGGCTGGGAGTTGTCAGCTTCTTTATTCTCTGCAAAGAGGATTGAGAGAGAAAAAATGTGTACTTCTCATTCCCCTAAAACAATGAAACTCATATAAGCAGCTTTTGGCAGACGCAGCTCATGCATAAAGTCCAACACTTTGAAGGAACCAAAAAAGCATCAACAAAAATACACTTAAATAAAAAACTTGAGTTTGTGTGCAGGCCACTAAGTTTTGAGCAGTAATGTAACTCTGAATGGTGTCTTTTTTTAAAGATACGGCCTCAAGTCAACATCACAATAAAGTGAGCAGTTCACCTTGATCACGATAAATGGACTTTAAGTACTCCGCAAGCTGTTCACCTCCTACCACATTAACTTTGTCGACTTTAGCCGCCAACTTTTGAAACGTCCTCCATCTCCTCACCTGTCTTTGTTACGGACTGGATGGGGTAGAGTCACACATCCAAAACCAACTTTTGTCCAAAACAATCAGCTGCTCAGTCACCTTAATATCAAGTTACTGCACAAAAAGCGTTGACAAACCCTTCAAAAACTCAGTCATCATTTTTATGTCATTTCTCTGGGCACTAACATTGCAATCTGGATGTCATTCAGTACAAAGACACAGATAATGAGTCCTCATTCTTGTTTTTAGCACGTCTTGGATCTGCCAGAAGCTACACTACTGATCATCGAACATCAAAAACCTGTAACAGCTCATTTGATCCTGCCCTAAGCAATTATGGGAAATCATCAGACTATAACGTGATCCCTTTAAGACAGTGAGAGGGGGGTGATACAACACATGCATTTCTTTCATTCATTATCTTCACAACAAGGCACTCGGGTCCATCATGTTTCCTCAAGGACTCTGCAATGACTGAGTCTGATTTTCAACTCTTATCAATGTGAATAAAAGTCTTTTCATAATAAATGTTACTAATCCTATCAAAATGTGAAACAAACAATGCATTGTTGTTTTGAGTGAATAAAGACCTGCTCATTAATGCTTACAGAGGTATTCATTTACCCTGACCAGGCATAAAAGCTTGAATCAATCATACCGCCTCAGGGTGAGGGATATTATCTGAATTATAGAGTAAGGTTATTTGCTGTGTTAGTGACAAACACAAGGAAATGTTCTCCATGCTTATGTAGGATAAATTAAAAACCACCTAATCTCTGCAAAACCAGCGTAAAAAACTTTGAATAGAGAGACACTATGAACTGTATGTTTAGGTTCAACAAGAGTAATTGTAGACAAGAGCAATGCAACATGTTGGATATGTAGCAGAGCCTTTAAGGTTAAAGACAGGGACAAGCTCAAACTATGACAGAGATCTGTCTGGGATGAACCTGAAAAAGTGAGCAAGAGGCTAAAATCACCTGGATTGTTAAGCTGATAACTTTACATCGTCAGTGAACACTGTTGTTCTCACTGCAATGCAACTAAAAAAAACAACAGATCGTATAAAATATCTAAAACAAACTCCCTTAAAAACAAACCATCTCATAGCAGTTGAGCTGCAGGTATTTATCCCATTTCAACAGGGTCAATGAGTGTGCCCCTTTATCAAGACAAGTGCAGTACCCAACACACAACGCTGTAATTTCATTGATAATCTAAATCTCCAAACACGCTGACATGATCAGTCAGAATCAGTCCAGGTTAATGCGTGCAATCCAACCTAACACTGTCAACTGTTTGAAGTACAAAACTGTTTGTAACAATGTTAAATAAAGCAACACTAATAATGAGGACTGGACCCAGACTCAGACTTAATGGGGATTGAACTGTAGCTCCTCTAGAGTTTCTCTCTGGTGACTTGGACTCGAATGCTGAGGACTGGAGAGGCAGACTTGAGTTGCATTATTACCTTGTTAAGTGACATCCTTCAAAATATCGCAGTACAAGACTTTCTGTTTTACCTCAGTGAAGGTGCCGGGTGTCTTCCAGATCATCCAGATAATTCCCAGGGGGATGCAGACCATCGAGGACATGGCCATGAACCAGCCAATACCGTAGCCCCAGTCAGGGTAGGTGTACACATTGTTGTACTTCAGAGGCTTGTATTTAATCAGGAAGAAGAGGAAAATAGCCTACAGAAGAAAAACATGACACTCTTATTTATAGATATTATTTAGCATTTTGAGAAAATAATGCCTCCTTTCTTAGTCAAATGAATTCACTTGTGTAGTGAGTGTAGTGTTGTATCACATATGCAGTATGTTTAAAATTCAACCCATGAAAAGTGATGAATGGGGACGATGTTGACGCTGTCTTTCAATCTTGATACTGATACATTATACCCCTGTATATTTTCCTGCTGCAGAGTCTGCAGGTAAAATATGTTGCGGATAGACAGCAGCGATAGCATGACCAGCCTTCTGTCCTCCTTGAAGGTTACCGTCAACATTAACATAACTAGACCCAATCTTCATACAACTTCAACTTAGTGTTCTAGATCAAATTCTGCCATACTGCACTGTCCTGACCTTTCAGGACAGTGCAGGGCCTCTCTTACCCAAAGTCCAATTGGTCCACAAGGTCCAGATCAGGGACCAGATGTTTACATTTTTGTATTTTGTATTTAGTCCAGTTAGTGTTCACAGGGTACTTTAGCTTAGTGAACCAAATGGTTAAAAAAGAGGGAAAATTAGGAAAAATTACGAGGGAAAATCACTGTCTGTCTCCCGCTCATTTGGGACACAATCTTCATTGTCCCACAACAGAAACAACGGACACAGAAAGTAGTCGACCAGGGAGAACAATGGGCGTCTTGCTTCACGAAATTCACCAGAGGTGGCGGAGACGTTGTGCGAGGAGACGCCAGTCATTAATGCAAAGGAATGTCTATAACACATTGTCAGTGTATTTGTTGAACAGAAGAACACCCAGGTATGTATTTAATATTCATCACCCGACTATTGTATTAGAACCATAGACTGTATATACTATGGACAACTTGGCCCTGCCCTCCATCATTATACGAATTTGAAGCTAAATCGCTCTCGGTATTTCCGGGATTTTCTCCACTTCCTGGAACCACCACTTGCACAGTAGCGTTGTACGCATTTGGCTAAAGAGTCGCTGTGATGATGCTCAGCTCAAACAGTGTATCCCCCAGGTGAACTATGCAATCTTTGTACGACCATAGACCTTATCAAGTGTCAATCAAAGAAAACATGAACCTCCTAACAACTTAAAAAAAATTGAGCTTCACAGAAAAAAAGAGGATTTGAGCACAAACCAGTCTTACAGTAACTACATGTCAACATTGCAAGCAGGGGGGAGAAAAATTTATATTCTTTGTAATTAATTTCTAAAGTTTGTCCACAGCTCCATAGGAATTGCTGGAGGAGGTGGGATTTATGACCTATACTGCAGCCTGTCACTAGAGGGTGCTGTTCTCGCGATGGCTTCACCCAGCGAGGAGGCAGACATCAACCAATTTACATATAGTCTGATTAGAACACAAACCCTCTGCCATTTATCCAGTTTTACGGACAGTCCAGTGTTTTGACCGGCTGTTCTCTGTCTGCTGCAACCTCTGGATGGGAATAATTTCCCGCCTTAATTTCAGTGCAGGCCCACAGTTCAGACCACGGTTTGCTTGGGTGTTGATATCATCCAGACCAAAGGAGTAAGGGGACCATTGTCCTTTTAAAATGAACCAAACAGTCCTGGTGTGAATGCGCCCTTAGAGACCATCTGTTATCTGTGCTTGTTTACATCTGGTTTGTAGAGCATTGCAGGGTAATGGCCGTAGCCATTAACCAGAGCTGGTCGCAGATGACACATGCTACAACCTGGACACAACATCTGGCCTAGAAGAGTTAATCTACTCATGATTCATCTAGCAGACGAGCAGGGTGATGACGCTCAGTTGTTTGAATCATTTACCTCCCAACCCATACTGCTCAAATTGACCTATACCTACAACAGTTAAGAGCAGGTATCTCCCGACAGTTTTAACCATCACTCAGAACTCTTTTTTTCATGGAAACATGTTTCCTGTCTTTAATGCTCCCACTCGTCTCGTTGATTTTGTGTCTGCAGTGAGACTCACAGCACAGATGCCCGGGGTCAGGATCATCCAGCACCATTTGATGAAGAAGACAGGTTTGTAGCCGATCATGTCCTCAATATTAAGGTAGAATCTGTCACTACCTGAAATGCAAATACAGAGACTCAGAGTTTCTGCACGTATCACCAAAGTAATAAATGATTGATGTGTTTTGACAGTATTTGGCTGTTGACTTAAAACTGCTGATTGTATGTAGACGAAATTCACTTTGACATCTTCCCTGAAGAGAGTCAAATCAATCAGCTCTGCTGCATGCGGAACAGTCTTACCTAATGCTTAATTAATATAATTTGATTTGTTGTCAAATGATGTTTAAATAAAACAGACAGTTGGGTTAATGTGACTGTATTAAGACACAAAACTAAAAGCCATAAAATCATTCTCTTTAGACAGAAAAATGCCATAGAAAAAATCTATTCAAGGAACAAAAATTGTGATTATTCATGCTGCTATGGTGATAATTATGAATTTATTATAAAGGATATTTGTGTGGCTTGTATAACACTAAGTAATGCATGTGTTTAAACCTGTTCTCCAGCAGAGGGCAGAAAAGAAATGTGACTGCAGCGTGGACAATTATAGGATAACACAGTGTTTGTGCAGCAATCGTTCCTTCAGTGCTGAAATGTCTGACAGGTGTTCAGATTTAAAAGTGTTACCTGTGGTGACAGGGGGTGAGGAATGAGATGTATTTTTCTTTGAGCTCTCTAATTACATTTTAAGATGAGACTGCTTTCTTACCGTAAACCCAGCCGATACATATGGACTCAAATATGGCCACAAACAGCAAACACATCCCACTGGCAGCATAGGAGTCAAAAAGCTGGAAGACGTACATCCCTCCCTGGTAGGACAAGACAGGTGTTATTTGTCTGTCTCAGACATTTAAAAATCAGACTCAACAGGATCCCTTTATACATACAGGGAATCAGGTGTGCTTGATTCTGCTGTTAGAGACTGACAGCATGCCAGCTGCTTCTTAAGCTTTGCCAAAAAATTACATTATTCTCAAATAAATCTCATATCAATAACTCTGTAAGTGTTTCATCAGTTGAATAATACTTTAATACAGTACACTGTCCTGTTAAATATTTTGTTATTGCATGTTACATCTAGAGAGAGCTATTTAAACTTCATCTCCACACGACATAGCTGTGACATACTTAGGCGATTTTAAAGGGAAAGGCTGCAGAACAGCTTTTCATAGCCACCATGTTTTGGCTCGTTTCACCATTTCTTTTCACAGCAGTCAAGCTTCTCACCTGATTCTCAGCACCAAAAATTATAAATATTTACAAAAATACTGTAAATATAAAAGTATATTAATAAAATCAAAAGATTGAACAGTTTAATATCAGTTGCAGCACATAAATTTTACCGTTCACTCTGCCGGCACTAACTCCACAACAGACAACTAATCTGTTCCTCAAAGTCCCTTCATATATAAAATCTCACATGAATCTGAGAGCAGCGTTACATCATAGCTCTGAACTACCTTTAAACAGAACAAAATATCATCAAAATGTCTCAGTGACCCTCTTTGCACCCCTTCTAAGGCCAGGCACTGAACTACACTCCCAGAGGACTTTTTGAACTGTGATTTAATCCTCCTCTAGTTTATTCATGAAGGCTCTTTGGCAGCAGAAGAGACTTGAGTGTACAGAGTGCAGGTAGAGCTGAAAGGAAAAACAGAGGGAGAAATTGGCAGGTTTTCTTTTTGGGTGAGAATGGGCGATGACAAACAGAGTTCAGGTCAAACCTACTACAACAGAATGTAATCAGTGGAGGTGAATGGAGAGCGGCGCGTATGGACACATGAAAGGCTTTAAGTGGATGACAGATCTTTTGAAGTTTCTTCTCCATGATTGCAGAGCTGGTCTCATGTATACAGGCCTGAGCAGGTAACTCGAACAAAGACCTTAAAAACCACAGGGTAGATCTCAGTGTATTTCTATAAAGCCATGGACACAGTGGTGGATCACACAGCTAAAGTATTGAACTACTTTAAATCAATGGGTGCTCGTCTTTGAAATTTTCTGTAACATTCAGACAGCTGACTCTTAATTTACAATAAACGTGTCTGTGTTTCATCCCTCATGAACACACTGATGATGGCGATGATGATGCTGATGATAGCCATGATACAAACTATGTGAAGTTGAAAACAGTATAAGCTCCTGAGCTGAAAGTAGCTGACAGCAGTTTCCCCACCCAATCCCCCAGAAATAAGCTAGTAGGTGTACAAGTAGAAACATCATCTGTGAATGCACCTGTTCAACCAACAAAATGATTCATCTATCTCCAAACTTAAAGTAGGATTTGCAAGGATTATGCCACATGTTACATATCATCTGCCAACTGTTGTATCTATACCTCGTGTAACTATGTATTTCATGTTTTATCACTCACAAAGCTAAAGCTAGCATATACTCATATATGCCGGCAGATGCAGGTTAAACATAAAAACCTCCCTTTGGACTGTTTGCTCACAACTGTAGATTGAAATGTCTTAAAAACTTAGTGAGACATACCTCTGTACACATAATGAGTCCTATGAAGAAGGAGGTTATAGACATGCCCAAAATCAGCAGCTCTCTGCGATAGCCTCTCCTGAAGGTTTCTGGGTACATGTCCACCACAGCCGTCACCAAACTCTCCACACACACAAACTGCAGGGAAAAACATGACATAACACAATTCAAAGTTAAAAAAGGTGTCCATGCTCCAATCTCTCAAGCTGAAGACAATTTAAATCAAACTTTCCACATGCTAAATGAGGAAACTGAAAGATCTATCTCATGTTCAGTTTATGCAAACAGTTAGAAATTGACAGATTTACCGGGACATTTTTTTCTTATTTGTATACTTACCTGACTGTCCAGACCGAGGAAGATCAGCATCATGAAGAAAAGACAGGCCCAGAGAGGAGACAGAGGCATCATAGTTACAGCTTTGGGGTAAGCAATGAACGCAAGACCAGGACCTGTATCGCATCAGAACAGATCACAGATAGGAATCTTAGTTTTAAGCAAAGCATTGTGTTTCATGGTGCCCTGAGTGTGACATCACTGTTACACTTTTGCATATTAGTCTATTTAGTTATATCGGTGGTCTGCTTTTGTTTGGTTTCCTTACTGTTTTTATTTTCTCTCCCATGAACATTTTCTTTTTTTTTCCTTGCCTGCTTAGTTGGGGAAGGCCAATGGGACTCATTAGAGTATTGTTCAAACAACTATGGTACGAGCAGATACATCTGCTATTTATTCTTTAAAATGCCAATAATGGAAGAAGCTTCTAACCCTATGCTTAATCGAGTAGTTGACAATGTCTTGTTACTGATTGAATCAGTTTTACAGTTTGTTTTAATGTCTCTAGAAAATGATTCTGCATATGAAGCCAACTGGACGTTAAATCACAATGATGGAGCAGAAAAGAGAATTGCACATTGTTTAGTAAAGGAGGACATGAATGGGATGGGATAATGTTGTGAAGTTGGATGTATTGTGTTTTCAAACACCTTTACTTGACGACACTAAGCTCTGTACTCTCTGTGATCCAAGACAAACATTTCAAATCTCTTCCTCTTGCAATCACTAAATCATTTATAGTGACTTAAATAAATCATTGTGCGGCGGTCTAAGAGCCTAGGTGGAGTTACATAACCAGTCATGTTTATCTATTTTAGACGATGGGGCACAGAGAGTTAGACTGGCTTTCCTCAGTGTCTGGTATCTGCTGCAGGTCAAATGTAAATCCACCTTACAGGTTTAAAAGGAGGTTTTTATCAAGTTTTTCATTGTAAAACAAACAAAAAAAAAAACGGATATTCACTCACCAGATTCTGCCACAGCCTCAATGGGAACATTTTGCTCGTAGGCCATGAAGCCCAGCACAGAGAAGATAGCAAAACCTGCTACGAAACTGGTGCCACTGTTCAGACAACACAGCATGATGCAGTCCCTGAGGAGTAAGACAGACAGAAGACCTTTCACCTCACTGTGAGAGCTGTTTTTCAATATATTCTTCTGAATCCTCTTACCTCTATACAATGAATGAATGAATAGTTGTGTACACCATAAAAAAAGAAACATTTCGCTCAATTTATACAGCAGCTCCAAACCTTGATTTTACCTGTAGCAGTTGTTATCATAGGCATTGTAACTTCCCAGAGCAGTGAGACAGCCCAAGCAGATGGCGTAGGAGAAGAAGATTTGGGTTCCAGCGTCCACCCATACCTGAGACAAATATAAAGATAGAGTAAATACACAGATGAGAGACAGATTTATATCAAAACAGCCAAAACAACTAGAGGCTTATTTCCCCAGCTGCCAACTAAAATCTTCCTTGGCATAAAGTTTCTCACGGTGGTACCTTTCTTTTTTGAGGATTTACTTTGAGAAGTTTAGCCAAGCAGTCCAGGCTATAATCGGATAATTGTGAAGGTTATAGTAAATAAATTATGTAAACCTCATGCTCATGAACCCCTTCAGTGTTTCAGCATTAAAAATGTATACTTTTTAGGTTATTTTTATGACATTCAGAGGAGTGATATTGAAGCTGTAGAAAGGAAACATAAGGACACAGAGAAGGTTGTAGGTACAACAAGCAACAGAAGTGAATCAAACAAGGAACACGTAAGTTATAACATCAGCTATCCACACACAAGTTCACCTCAGTCCATCTCATCTCTACATTTTTTCCTTGATTTGAACACAGAAACTAAATATGTCATGGACAATGTAAAATTATTTTGAAGGCATCTGATAACTTGTAATGTTCATAATCCAGCTGCCAGTTTAATCTCTGCTCCTACACCTATTTTCACTGCCAGTATAAATTATTAGTGAGATATCCCATTTTAATGTAATCACAGATTCACAAAATGAAGAAGACGCTTTACCAATTCAAGAGATTAGCCTGATATGATAAGAGGTGAGTTTTTATCATCCATTGAAAGCCTGTGATCCTTTTGTTTCCTCTCACGTACCTGATCTCCATCATCGCTGTGACTTAATAATGAAATTATGGCTCAGTTGAAGTGCGGCTTTCCCTCAGAGGGGCACTCAGCGGAGCAGCATGAATCATAGATTACCATCCTTACAGTCTACTAGTGACTAAAAATGTATACTCATTTCCTGTCCACAGTTTGACACAGAATAGGTACATTAAAACTATATTCATATATGTACAACATCAGTATTTATGAATAGTTTTGTGATCTTTTTTTTGGTACCAACAAAAACAAAACAAAATCAAGGACTGAAAATGGAGTTCACATACAAATGAGAGATGTCGGGACATCATCTTGAACTTTTCCAGAAGTTTAATCTCCTAGGATTGTGTACCCAAATTGAACTACCTGGTAGATACAAGGCTCAGTGCACAACGATTAATTGTCCCTTAAACCACTGTGATGAGTATAATTACACAGCTGAAATACTGCAAAGTGCAAGATATCTTTTTTTTAACTTTCAATAGTGGAGTCTCAGTATTTTGGTTCAAAGGCTTCATGTTGAGTTTGCACATATTGAATTCTTTGCTGAGACATCAGTAAGATATTCTTTGTGAAAGTAGTTTGTAGTGCAGCGCTGGACCCTAGAACCTGCAGGGTAGCATGAAGTGCTAGCGAATTCAAACTTAATGCAGCATGGCTCTTTGAAAACTCTCTCACATCACCATTCAGCTACTAATCTCATTTCCCCACCGAGAAACAATTAACAAACGCACGGTCTTCACTACCTCCTGGGAGTAACCACGGTAACTTCTGTGACCTCACAAACACAGGACTGTTCCTGTGGAAGAACAGGCCTTTCTCTCCTAATGTTCATTAATGTTCCCTTTAGTTCACCCTCGGCTGATGGCCGCACAGCGCAGGGAAGCCTTAAAGGCCCAGGCTCAGAGAGAATCACTTGTTGATGTTGTGCCTAATTTGGCCAGCTTGTGTTTGGTAATGTTGAGACTGCAACTCCAGGACGCATTTCTACTGCGTGAAAGATAGTGGAGATAAACTGTGGGATGGTCTTCTGGTGCAGTGAATGTTTTATATCATGGTGTTCCCCATGGTGGCCCATTAAATTCTAAACTTAAATTTATAATTGGATATGTTTCTATCCTTTTAACTAAAAAAAAGCTTTGACCAGGAACAATATCTACTCCTTGTGAGGAGTTTGAGGCGCACTGTTTGTTGTTTAGAAATTGAAAAAAATGTAAATGGTGAAATAAAACAAGCCCTAATCTAGCCAAATGTTTAACTGATTTTAAACATCTCCTGGTTTTGAGAAGACACAAACATATGCCATTTCATTGATGATGTTTTATAAGTCAAATATTATTTCATCTAAGTCATCAGTTTTCATGAGGCGAAATTATCATCTGTATTGAGGTTTTGAGCTCATGAACAAACTGCAACTTAAAGAACCAAATCCGACGAAAATCATGTTTTTCTTGTCTATATGTTCATATGGCATTTTTCCAATGCTACAGGACATATCACAAGAAAAATAATTGCAAAATTCCATTTCTGAGTATTTCCTCTTGCAAATTATGTGAATCTCAGGCAGACCCAAATGGCAGGTTCAGACACAGTGAGATTTCATATGTCACAAATCCAAGCTCCGCCCCTGGAGCCCCGCTATGCAGGCCACACTCAGAAAAGTAGAGACGACGATTGAGGAACAAGCGTTTGCGTTAGCGAATTGCAACGCTCGTAAACTAATTATGATATAAACTTTCATCATGCCCCCAAAGACATTAGTGTCCGAGAGCTAAATAGCTCCTATGTTACCTACTACTTCTAGGCTGCAAGCTAGCATGAAAAGGAGTGTGCAGAGCAGCACTGTCTCCGCCCACAACTCAGAGGCAATTGCTAATGAGCTACTGGAGCCTTACAGAAGAAAAGCCCTTGAAAATGACACAGATAACGTGATTTTGGCTAAGAACTTCATAATCACAACTTAAAAACCACTGAGAATACTTTAAGGAGTAAAAAAAATGATTGGAGTGGATCTACAACATAAACATTTGTGTAGACATAGATCAGTAGTGTGCTATTGACTTGCAACAAGGATTACTGCGCCACAGCATTGTTAGCCTTTCTGTTACATCTCAATCAGAGATGTGCAGTATTACCACTATGATGTTTGTATCTGCAGGTAAAAGCCGAAAAAGTTTATTGTCGGTATCAGCAGATATAATTATTGGCCAAATGGTGATGCACTTGTTATGTGCATGTGACGACAGCTTACACAGAGAGGTTTTGAGGTGTCGGGAACAGACAGCAGACCCATTACTGAACAGTTTGTCCCCCAGATCTCAAAGAATTGGTTTGCTCTGACTCTTGAAATAAGGAGAAAATTGACGGTAAATTAGACTTATGAAACAATCACCTTGAAGGTGAAAAAGACACAAATGGGAACATGTTTCAGTTGTAGCAAGACAAGATCACAGGGAGGAACTGAGAGTGAGAAGTGAGGAGAGGAGGGGTGTTGCACAGCACAGTTTGGAGGGTGAGAGGGAGGGAGACAGCCAGGGAGAGAAAGGTATAGGAAGAAGTAGAGCAGGGGCGGTGTGATAAAGTTCAAGAGAGTCAAAGAGTGGGTGACACACAGCCACACACACACTTGTTACAGCCTGCTGAACAGAACAGAGCCCTGATTGTCCCTGAGGAAGCTAATTTAACATTGGTGTCAGAAGTAATGTCTTCCTCTGCCAAACAGCAGTGCTGCTTTATCACCCTCCTTCACTCTCTCAGAGGCTCTGTTTGTGTCTTTGTTTTCCATCTATTTCTTCTCACTCACTCACTATCTTTCTCTATCTTTGTTCTCTAACTTTACAGGTGCTCCTGAAAAAAAAAGACTGCTGCAGAAAAGTTCAATATTATCCTTCTATTTCCTAAAGAAACTAAAAATTTTATCTACTCTGGACTTATCCCATGTAGATGAAAATGTTTCAAGTATTCTATTTCAATTTCAGTTCAGATATTTATAGACTACAGTATAAAAAATCGATTAATATACCTTAGAATATGAGAATATTGTAGTAAAAGTTTGAATGAATAACTATTTAAGCTGTATCAATACTGTGTGTCTCTGTCTTGTTCAGTGCTCACGTGAAGAATCGTGACAAAGAAGATCAAAGGAGAAAAGACTGGCTGTTCATAGAAAGTTGACAAGAAGGGTACAAAGCTGGTAGATGAAGCTATGCAAGTAACACAGATGACCAAAGCCTTGAGAAGATTTTCAAGAAAAACAGATTCAAGACCTTGGGGGAGCGCCAAAAGGGATAGACTAAGGCTGCAGTCAGCCCATAGAGTTGCACTGTACAAGGATATTTTCATGAATGAGTCGACAACTGTTGTATTCCTAATATGACGCCATGCCAGAACCAGAGGTAGCATCTAAAGCCTCCTCATGGGCCACAGAGAAAAAGAACTGGACTGTTGTTTATGTTCCACTGAGCACTGAGCAGTAAATTTTGCGCATCATTTTCAACTCAAGATTCTTCAAAAGATAACTGGAAGTAGACAGAACATTAGGTGTTTCAAGTCTAGTTTGAAGTTTTTGCAGTCTATGATGATTTGAGGCGCAATGCCATCTTCTGGTGTTGGCCCATTGCATTTTATTGAGTCCCACGTTGACATGTCCACCCACCATGAGATTTTAGAAAACATCATGCTTCTTTCTGTTGACAAGCTTCATGGTGATTCTGATTTCCTTTTTCAACAGGACTTCACCTGCCCACAGTGCCAAAACTCATACCGGATAATTTGTAGCTGATCATTTAGTGATACTGACTATGCTTGATTGGCAAACTAACTGGCCTGAATCCTGTTGAGGATCCGTGGGATATTTCTCCGGAGACAGATAAGAAACACTTGATGACCCCAAAAATATAGACAACCTGAAGGCTGCTATCAAAGCAATTGGGGCTTCAGAAACACTTTGGCAGTTCCAGAGGATGATCTCTTGCATGATCCACATTGTCCAAATTAAAAATAGTATGGACTATGTGACTCCGCCTCCCATCATTGTATGAATTTAAAGCCAAATTGCTCCTGGTATTTTAGGGAATTTTCTCCATTTCCTGAAATATTCGATGAGAGAATGTTGTGATGACCTACGGATGTCCTACGCAATCTTTTTACAACCCTTACTTATCTTCTTTTAAAAAAATTCGCACTGCACAGAAAAAAAGAGGACTTGAGCACTAACCAGTTTAGCAAAAACTACATGTCAGTACCAAAATTTGGGGTGAGTAACATTTTTATGACTTAGTTTAAGTTTGCCTGTAGCTCCCTTTGTTTTGCTGGAGGAGGCGGGGTTTGTGACCTATACTGCAACGAGTCACCAGGGGGTGCTGTTCTTGCAGAGGCTTCAGCCAGCGAGGAGTCAGATGATGTCCACTCTGTATACAGTCTTAAATCAGGATTCACAAAGTCCGACCAAGTGCTAAGTGTAAAATTAAATGCTCTATTGAGAGGTTTTTTATTTTAAACCCTTTTATTGGTCGATCTTAGGAAATTGATGTACTGCATTCACGATTTTTGTTAACTGTAAAACAAAAGCATTGGAGTTGAAACAAAGTAGCTTGAAATATTTCATGTATTAGGCTGAGGTTATAAAAATATATAGAGGTTTACCTTTTGATTTTTGATTTTTACATAGAGCCTCTTTATGAAATTTGCATTTTTTAGAGGCAGCTGTTACAGTTGTTTTCTAACTAGAAAAAAACAGGGCTATGAAACTTTAAAAAATCACAAAACAATCTTTTAACAGCTTATTGTAGTGTTTTATGAGCAGATATTAAAGTTGATACAAGTGACAAGTCTGAGATGAACCAGTTTGTCAAGAAGGACCGTTTTAGTCTTTGTAGTCTTTCATCCACGCTAGGTTAATGCCAAGAAACTGTTTGCTTCAAACACCTTTGCTCCAGGGGCTGTGTGAAACAAGCTGGCTTGTCTTTGACAGACTACATTTCCAGTTATTTGACAAGCATTCACATTTACTTGCATCTATGATATCTCACCCAGTGCACAAGCTGACACCACGAAGAGTGTTAATGGGTTCAGTCATGATAGGTGTCTAAACATGAAAAAGCTCATACAGTTTTCTGAAGCCTTGCAGTTAAAACTTGCCATCAACAGTTTCAGTTTGCGGGAAAATCACACCAGTCATGAGACACCAGAGGAGGGTCTTCAGCAACTCAAACTAATCTGTTGTGAAGCCCCACCCTCATATAATGACTGCCATCAGAAGGGGTTTTCCAGCTGTTGCATTCAAGCAAGCTGCTATTGCAAGTCAAGGACTTACTCCAGTGTACTTTTTAATGATTTAATCTGATAAAAAATTGTTGAAAAGGGTACCTAAAAGCCACAGAGAGGTTATCCTTTAAAAGCTGTGGCAAAAACTACACGCCCAAGCTTAAATAAAAAAATATTTTCAAGGTTTTGGGCATGAAAAGTTAGTTTTAAGAGGCATAAACAACCAGTAATCTGGCAGGTCTGCCGTGCCAGAGTTCAGTTGCTAGTATGCTCCAACTATTTATCACTGTGCTCAGATGTGTTCTCTTTTTTGTTCACCTAAACTCTTCATCTATCTCATTTCAGGTTGTCATGACACCCCATCCACTGACATTTTCTGGTGCAGTTGCCTAGCGACCTGAGCTCACTGCCTTTTCCACATAACAAGTGTATTGTAAGTACAAGCAGAATGTAATATAGAAGTAGAAATTTAAAAGTATAAAATATAAAGAGAACAAATAAAAATGACTTACTACCCATCACACTATGATTGCAACAACACCACCTGTCCCTCTGGCAGCTAATCAGCTTTAGACAGGTGGGTGTGAGGCAGGGGTTTCAATTCACTCCCATGAGTCCAGTATCTTTAACCCCACCTGCTCTGCTTTGGTACTTTGTGCCTGTCACAAGCAGACAGACAGTAAGATGACAGACGCAATCTCAGTTACAGCTCAGCGCAATCTGACATTTTAGACCTTTTGAAATAACAGCAAGATGCTGTAGTTTGCCTTAAGTAATACCACGGTGGAAATTGGAGTCCATGAAAATAATAATCATTTATTTGCAGTTATGATACAGGGAATATATACTGGAAGGGTTTTAAAAAGGTGTAAAATATGTATCATATTGACCATGAACTATGTAATTTGATGATACAGTTTCATTTTCTTCTCCTGAATTATAAGGGGGCTGTAAAAGATTCTTCAAACTTGAAACATTTGCATGTTGTGCCTCTGAAATACAATACCTGCTTTTCTCGGCTGTGGGTAAAACACAGTTGTAATCTGATTTTATATCTATTCAAATGACCATAAGTTGTTTTTCACTTTCTAACAGTTTGAGATATAAACAAAAGGTCAAAGCTTACCTGAGGGTCAGAGAGACGGGAAATGTCTGGATAGAGGTAGAACTTGATGCCGTCAAATGCACCAGGCAGCGTCACTCCTCTGATCAGCAGGATCAACAACATGAAGTAGGGAAACGTTGCCGTCACATACACAACCTGCAGGAACGGATACACACAGGTTTGGATTACAAATTCATGCATAAAATGGAACAACATACACTGAGTCACTGTCAGAACTTGTAATTACTTACATAACCTGATATGACGCTTACAAAATTAAGTCAAAGTGAAGCTTTTCAAAACAAAACCCTGCAATTGTCACGAACAGTGAACCCACTGCTGATTAATACTGGCCTTAAAGCAACAATGCAATTTCCTCATCTGCCTTGTTTTTGAATAATGCTTTAGACCACCAGGACAAAAAGGACTGAAAACTCCTGAGGGAGAAAAATGTGTCAGGTTTGTGCTATAATTACATGCTAGTCAATGGTAGAGTTATCCATTCTGTTGAAGTTCACACTCAGGATCTGGCAAACCACCACAACAGCACACCATGTTGGTCTTTATGAATGTGGCTAGTGGTGAAATTTGGGATCCTCTTCAATTTTCTTAAACTGGCAGAGTTGAGTTAAGTGAGATGTAAACTGGAGTTTAATTCAAGACTGTGTGTCTGGTTTACCATTAGCCATTTAGCCATTAGTCCCACCCTATCATCAACCATGTCTTTATCTTATTTATTGTTTATTTAGTTAATTACTTTATGTTCATCTTAGGGAGATTTCACGCCTGTAGCTTTTTGCTACTTTCTGATATTTCCCAATAAAATGGATAATTGACCTTGGGTTGTTCACACACTAATATTACAGGGCTGTCCTTACACATCATGTCATAGTCTCTTTTTCCTGCTGCGTAGGAAATCAAATACAATGAAAAACTAGCCTTTTCTGACCTCTACTCCTTGAGCGATGAGTCAAGCAGTTTTTTATTCTGGTCATTGGGTCAATTTCTAACAGATCACTCTAGGGTTTGATTGGGGGTGTGCCAAGACCACTGCATCTGCGTTTTGGTGTGTTCAGATATGTCCAAATGACAGGCAAAAGAGGGAAACAGCTTTAGTTTCAAAACAACTTCTTCAACCTTCAAAGAACCCAGGTATGAAGTACTGAGCCAAGTACCTATGGCCTAAGATTTTAAGCTATTGACAGTCATCTTAGTAAGTCTAAGGCAAATAAAGGGGAATGATGGAAACCAAAGCCTAAATAGACTAAGGACATTCTCACACAGGAGTTATTTGGAAAGCCTCTGAAACAACCTCTTGGCTTGGATTATTTGGACACATGTAAACACAGCAGATGCATTTCTTTGCCATTGTGTGACACTGCAAGGCAAGGCCGTTAAAGCCCCTTGTTCATACGCTTGCTATGTTTTTGTAGCTAGAGATTAAACAAGTATCCTTGCACCATGAGACACTTGACTTCCTTGCTGCTCGAAGTCAGTCAACAAGTCATTATATTGTAAGTTAACTAGCTAACGTTAGTTACAATCTTAACGCCAGTTTTTGCATCCAAACCCGAACCTATCTTTTCACAAAGGCTTTTTATTTTTCATTGACGACATATGGGATGGTTATATTCTGATGTTATAAAAGATAAACCAAGATGCATTTGTTAGGACTCTACCCAACAGATGATACATTCAGTTGCAAGTCGCCAGATTACATAGTAACTTTAGAAACAAGAACACCGGCATCATGACGTGAAGACAGCCCAGAAATAGTGTGTGTTTCAGGTCCCCTTTTACAGTGTTGCAGTATGAACAGAAAACAGCCCAATAGAAAAATGCAACAATGCAGAAAATGTTTCATCTAATTTAGAACAAAGCAAAAGCCTGAGGTGTGAAAACAGCCTGGTTTATAAAACAGTGTCTTCCATTGTGTTAATTTAGTGAGAATTCAGATATTCCATCGCATCTATCATAAAACTTTCAACATTAGTCAAACAACATAAAGAATCTCAGCTTAAGCTTTCAGCACTGAATTCACAATATCATACAACTGAGTAAGTCAACATACTGAGTTAAGATCTTGTAGAGTATCATGTACAGCACTGGAGACAACACCACTACATTGAACATGACACATACCTTCAGTACAGTAGCTAGCACTTGCTGACCAACAAACCAACACCCCACTTTTTATTGAACCATTCAGGTTCTGCAGAATTGTACTCTGCATCTCAAGACTCTTAGAAACCCCTTGAACAAAGACCCTGGCCTCTTGGAAGGCAGAGGCGGGCAACATACATCCCCTGGCTTGCTGGCATCCAGTCAAAGTCCAATTGAGGACAGAACAGGACAGAACAGAGCCAGGCCAGGAGACTGAAAAGAAAAGAAGGCTCCTCTGGCCCCGTCTCTTTAACAGGAGAAGCCCAGAGGAGTGATGCTGGCAGTGTGGGAAAATGTGCCTCTCTTTGAAGCAACAACAGGAGTGCATGAGCACACACACACACACACAGCTTCATTCACAACATTGAAATGGTGTGCACATACTACTAGACACTGATAAAGTGGACCATTCATGCACACCAACCTAAGAACACAGTTTTAAATGCATGCACGCTCCATTTAGCCATACATCCCAGGTCGAATTACTGTACAAGAGTAAGCAGCAGTTTCATCAATGGAAACTCTATTTTCAGGAGGGGGCTAGAGAAGTCTGCTTCTCATTTCTGAGTGGGGACAAGTGGAACTGGAACTAAGAGCTTGATTTACTCTCAACCATTCTCAAAATACAAATCTGCTCTGCTGAATACGCTGAGCATTCTTCAAATTAAAACTCTCAATCAAAAGTTCAGAACGGTCCAAAACCAAGGAAGTGCGAAATCAAAAAGGATCTTTGAGGCTTGATGAGACTGTCCACTCTGGGCTCTGTTAATCCTGGAGTGGTCTACAAGAAAAGTGTGGGAAAAGTCGCCTCCTGCCCAGGAGATCCCTCCTTCAATTTGTCAAATAAAACGATCACACATCCTAAACCTTCTCTCTTTCTCTTCATCCCTCTGGAGATGAAAAGGGCAATATTCAATCTCGCCATGAACTCTTGATGCTCCACATGCCCCTTCCAGCTCACCATGGGTAAACATTTAAGCCACCGCAAATTTACTGGTCAAACTTGCCCCTGCCTCGCCGTAAATCTAACAGGAGGGCTTAAATCTGAGAATGGCTGGCAAGCACGACCAACAAAAGCAAACAGCTTAGCAGAAACTGAACTGAATGGGCTGTAGGGAGAAGAAAGTGCCTCTCTCTCACAACAAGCAAGCTGTGTTAATAGCAGGAGAGAGAGAGACAGCAGAGGCGGAGGCTGAGGATATACTCTGCATGCTGCTCATGAACGCTCCCCTTTCCTCTAGTGAATACAGGAATCAATCTTGGACCGGCTGCTAAAGCCTGGCCATGAAGAAGCCTTCTCCCCTCTTACTTCACAGCCACACAAAAGACACTTCAGGGAGATATAGGCATTGCCGCCTAACTGTTTTTTTCCCCATCATGTAGAATCCAAACCCATTCATTTTTTTCTCAGACACCCTTCCCATTTTTCTCTTTACTCTGTCTCACCTCTTTTCCCACTACATCTCTACCTTTCTACTCTAGTCCACTGAATTTGAGAATATTTTCTCGAGTGATACTGAGCCCTCAAAGCAAGGTGCAGAGTCCCCACTGTCCTTGACAAGGCTCCTCTTCCAAGTCCTTGGAAGAGGAGCCTTGAGGAGCACATTAAAATGGAAAGGGTAGTAGGCACAGGGGTAGAAGTGGTTGATCCAGACAACCTTTTTGTTTTTAAAAGACTGCGTGTGATTTTCTGTGAGGCAGTTGTTTTGAGGACTAGAATAGAAAGGAGCTTGTCATGCTGCTCTTCCAAAAGAAATAAAGTACTGGTGCATACTCATGTAAATGTAATGATTCCCACATCTCTGACTGGAACATGCTATATCTCCAAAACTCTTACAAACTTCTTGTTCTTCCCATGCAAACATCATACAATTACAACATTTGGTAAACACTCTTTGCATTGCAATCAAAAAGCATTGACCACATAGACTGGTATAAGTCTACTTAAAGTGATAAAACACATGCATTACTGTGTCTCACCTTGCCAGTTGACTTGGGTCCCTTCCAGATGCAGAAGTAGCAGATGAACCAGGCCAAGGCCAGACACATGGCCAGCTCCCAACGCACTCCTCCCATGTGCTCAATACCATCTGATATCTTCAGTACTCTGCGTCTAGTTTGGGCACAGAGAACACACATAGTCACAGATTCGATATTGCTTGTACTTTAAGTTAAACCAGCTGTTAACACTGTGAAAGAAAGTTCAAGTGCAAGTTCTAAATAATTTACAGCACAGGGAGGATTATGAAAAATAATCATTTTCTTGACACTCCTCAATATAGATAGTAATGTCAAATTTTGGTGGTTGACCATACTCCCATGAAACCCGCCTTAGCATCACACAGTAATGAGAGGTGACAAAGGGGACTAGTCGTTCAATTTGCGCTTATAGTGTATGAAGTGAGTTGCAAGACAGTAGAAATATGCTACATAAAATGACATTAGTTCAGTAACTCTTTAGTGCAGGATTACTACACCCAGATTAACACCAATCAAGGATCAGCCTGTCCCATCTCATAATGCCATCCTTGACAAACCAATAGTATAGAGCAACCAAATCAATCCTGTGGTTCCCTCTATTACTTCCTTACTCTGTCCATGAAGGATCACTATTGTTCTGCAGCCAAACTAAGTAGCAGTAAAGTAAGATGCATCTACAAGGTTATAAGACAAGCAAGCAAAAAAACTGAAAGAACTTGAGTGGAACAGTGCAAGGATGGCATTTGGTTCTGGTATCTTTATCTTTCTCCCACTGTCTGCTTACAACTGGAACCCAGAGTGGTGTGGTCTTGAATTCATGATATCCATTCTGCAGAGTGTCTTCTGCTTGCCTGATGAGTGGATTTCCCATAGTTTGTTAAGCTGCAGAGGAACACACAATCCTTTGTATTCCTGGACACCATCTCTGAGCCTGTTTGGCCATTGTGCGCACCAATACTGTCAGAGCGGTTTGAGGAACACACTTTATAATCACACATCATGCTACCTCTCATCCTGCAAGATGTCAAGCCCCAATGAGCATTAAGGATGGATATAAGGATCAGTACCAAAGAAATGAACCGCAAGTTCTTAAGCTGAATCTAAGCTCAACCAGGCAGAACACAAGGGGACAGCTCTGTTGGTATAAAACCAGCACATCACAACTTTGAGGACAACTTGTGAGCACAAGACCATGGTGAATGATTCTTGTTCCATCACAAAACCTGGGTCTTGATAATCTGTGTCACAGCTGTCAGCACTGTGTTCCCAAGACTAAGGTCCTAACTTGCTGGCAGAATTATTTTTTTTGGCCAACTGAGATCTTACACTAGAGAAGATCCCCAAGTGTAGAAGTCATGAAGTGTGTGTGTGCAATTAAGGAAATTCGGGGTCAGACTATCTGCAAGTTGTTGACACGATCTTGGCCAAAGTCTGATGACAGCACACTAACGAAACTCTAGAGGCCTGACAGGCAAAAAAAGTGTCTGTGACTTTACCCTGTTGAGTGGTTTTTGTTTAGAGTCCAACTAGCAAGTGGAGTGACGAAAATGGCGCTTGTAAGACACTGTTGTAAGATTTTAGATCCACTGAATTTGCAAGTAGAAAATGACTGTTTTGCCCTCTGCTGTTGAGCTTTCCTTTCTGCAGTTGTGCTGCACAGTCAAAATTCAGTTTTCCGATGGGGAAAAATTAGGAATATTTGAACAAAACTCTGGTTTTATTTGGCGTGCTGCTCCACTTGAGAGAGTTAAAAACTCCTTCCAAAGAGGTGCTTCTAACGTGTTGTGGTACTGCAGTTCTACGGCTAAAATGTTCTGTCCTGTAACACACCTACAGGTTGAGGGGCTTAGGTTCGAGATACAGGGCATGCAGTCAGCGATTATGACATCATAGCTTGTAGGCGCTGGTGAATCAACAGTTTGCTTCCTGTTTGTTGAAGCACAGCCAGTCAACAGCATTGACGGAGGATGAGAAGCAAGATTGGAGCCACAGAGCTACATGGTGCTGCCAAATCGTTGCCACCAAGTTCACCCCCGGAGCTCCTGACCAGCCATTGATCATCATGACATGTTCTTGGTGGCCGGCCACAGGCAAGGTCCAAACACAGCCCTCCCTGGTCAGCCCAAAGGGCAAGATGTGAACGCTAATGTGTGTAAATAGACGTGTGTGTCCCCAAACATATTCAGATTTTTTTTTTTAATTGCGGCATAGTGTTGTATATCTTAGTGTGACTTTTGCGCCTAGTATTGGCAAATTTCTTAGAAATACAATTTTTGAGGGTTCAAACTTTTGCTTTAAACTAAGCTAACTGAAAAGAAGCCCAGTATCTACCACAAAATTTCATGAAATTGCTTAGTCCGTCTTTGCGTTAGTGATTTTTATGGAAGACACGGTTTTTAATTCTTTAAATTTGCTAAAAATTGCATCATCTCAATGACATTACAAAAGGATGATGTCTCATTCACTTACTGCATGTAATATGTCAGTCTGATTATCTTTGTCATTCTTGTCCTGTCATTTTTCCTTTTACTTTTTATTGAGCAACTTTCTTCTTTCTTGTTTAACCGTGTGCAGTGTGTTAACTTCAATAGGCAAATATGTTTTACTGTTTTCATTGAATTCTTATAAATTGAAGCTGTTTTCATAGGCTTCAATTCAATGTAATTTCTTGATTCGATAGTGATTTTAATCATCTACATAACGACCTAAACAAAAGACAAGAGCAGCTCCTTTGCCTTCCTACTCTGATGTGTGTTTATGCTGTATGTACAGTGTAACACACTACAGTGAGCCTTGGCATTGACTGAACAGTGCCTGGTCAGTTGTTATTTTTGCCAGCAACATGGTGTTCTGGATCTTTGGCCATTTTCGGCATATCCTTACCCACTCCTTATTACGCTTGTTTAAATCTTGTCAACCCAGACACACAAATCTTATCATAAAATTTTGATTTAGACACAAAAACATGGATCACAGTTTGAATTTAACTGTTTGACAGCCACGCCAAGCTTAAAAAAAGAGAGATTTGACCCAGCAGTGCAAACATAGCCACTGGCAGCGAGACAGGAAGTGTGGTCAGCATTACACACTGACAAAGCCTGATCTGCTGCCACACACATGGCTCTAGCTGGGAGACAGCTGGCCTACCAGGGCCTGTTGACACACAAATATGAAAAGGGCTGACTAATTATTGGGGGAAAGGTTGGGGGGTCAGTGAAACAGTCTGGAGCTGTCAGAAGCTCAGATTTTTAACATTTCTGAGGGTGGTTACATCAAAGAAGGACTTGTGATGCTGTAGATTGCCTCAACTGACAAATTATCACCTTATGTTGTAAAAGTATGCTAAGAGATGAAAGCCGCCAGCTTACTGCTCCCTAATGAGATCTTGCACATACAAACTATCAGTGCAGTCTCATTCGAACATGAGAGAATGTGAAGATGGTGTGAGGAGGGAAAGTAGAGATAAAAAAATACTCACTCCCAGAACTCGATGACTGGAGAAGTTGCATTGGGGTTTGTGATGTTGGTGGCATTTTCTCCGTAGTAGTCAACACAGTTCTCTGCATAAACAAACAAGAGTCTTTGTGAGAATGAACTGGTGGACAAAAAAACAACTTTTAGGATTGATTTCCTAGAAAAAACTCAACCAGTCCCTTCTCCTACCTGTGTTCCAGTAGTGCCCACAGCCAGCCCACGGCAGCTCAGTGGTGAAGCAGTTGAAGAGGTAGAAGATGGCCCAAGCAAGGATCACTATATAGTACACGTTTAGATGAGCTTCGATCACCTGTGTTGCATAGCCAATACCTGAAAGGCAAGAAGATACAGTCAGCACAAGACATGAAGAACTTAATTGCTTATTAGGGTTTGAAAGTGTGACAAGAATAATCAATATAAGCTCAGTTTCTGTGATGGTATTTTTGTAGGAGTTTCACTGTTTTGTATGTTTATGATCAAAAATTTTCCTTCTCACCCTCAAATAGTGGGCAGATTTTCCTCCAACAGGTGATACCTCCCTCGCTGGTGAATTGACCGAGAGCAGTCTCCAGGAAAAAGACGGGGATACCGCAGCAAATGAAGAAGATGACATACGGGACGAAGAACGCACCTTTTTGTACACAAGAGAAAATAAAAAATAAGACAAATAACAGTTGATCAAGAGGTTCAAAATGAACCTTTAATAATGATTTTAAAAGGTCTTAGTTACAAACAGTTACAAACATTGAGATAAAAGTGCTCACCATGACGCCTCACCCATACTGAAAGATGACCTTTTTAGACTATGAGGAGGATACATGCTGAGCAGCCTAATGATGCCTAATGAGGGAACCGACCTCCTTAACGGACATGACGGTGCATTATGAATGACATGAGAAGAACTTCATTATTGGAACGAAAAATCCAATCATGAATCAGACCAACATAATATCCGCTCAAACCTGGTGCCTCTTGTAATCTTGTATTAGGCATTCATACCTTTTTAACTTATTTTCTCAGCTCCAGATCAGCCAGCTTTTAAGCACACTAACCTCTCCTGCTTCTGTTATGGGTTCATGTCCCTACCTAATGATAAGAAAAACTTCCCCACCTCCTCCATTCTTGTAGCAGAGGTAAGGAAACCTCCAGACGTTTCCCAGACCGATGATCTCTCCGGCCACCGACAGGACGAACTCGATCTTGTTGTTCCAATGGCCCCTCTCATTGTAGTCCCTGTTATCCAGGCTGGAGTTGGACCCTTCCGGGTCTTTGCCATCCTCTGGTTTACCGTTTATAACGGGCCCGCTCTTCTCAGCTGTCATGACGCTCCAGCAGCCTGCTGAGTGAGAGAGAGAGAGGGAGGAAGAGAGGGAGGAGAGCAAAGAAAGAAGAATTAAAAAGGTGACCTCATAACCAAAAGATTAGATAGATTCAGTGATTTTTTTTCCAGGGAATTTGGATCATGTAAATAGGATGATCTAATTGATGCAAAACCACGCCCATTGAGTTGTCCACACTTATGTATGTGAATGTTCAAATAAAGGGGAAAGCAGTTCCATTTATTTCACTCAGAAAATCTGAGACAGACGATCTGAAGCCAGCTTCAATGTTAACAAATAGGCTTTGATCTAATTAGAAACTTTTAATTCAATTGATGAATTACACATGAATTACAAGAGCCACAGAAGAGAAATTGTACACAGGTGCACAAAAAGTTGCATGATGGGTGGGCTGAAAACCAAGCTGTCTGCAACATGCAACCAGAGCTGTAATAAAATAACTCACAAATATCTGACTTTTAGCTTCATATGTTTGAGGTAGGCTACATTATTGAGCCTAAAAACTAAGTACTTTGAGTGATATTGTGCGTGCATTACAACCAACCAACCCAGCCCTCTCCATCTGCGCACAGTACTTTCAGTGACTCAGCAGTCTTACAAAGTTAAAATGCCACATGAATCAAAGTTAAAAACTAACAAAAGCAGAGGTTAGATTCTTACGTCCGAGTAGGAGAGAGAAATGATCATGCAAGAGAGAAAGAGACATGCAACGTGAGGTCTCCTTACTTACCAGTCTCTTATAGGAACAGTGGCAAACCTCCTTTTGACTCCCGCGATGATGCGCACCAACAATTGGCTTTACAAAACACGGGATGGTTTATCCTAATCAGGGAGGGTGGAAAAAAGGAGAGAGGGGCAAAAGAGAAAAAAAAGAGGAACAATTTGAAAGCACGTTGACTTGAGTTGTTTTGTTGAGTTCCTCGTTTACATAAAGGAAGATCCAAGAACTCTTAGTGATGGTGGATCGTGCACCAGGCGATGGATAACCTGCGACTGCGCTCCCACTCTCCAAGCGGTCCACTCTCAAGCGCCTCTATTTGGATATAAGCCATGTGGTATCCAATGTAGACCTCACAGCAGCGTTACCACGGCGCAGAGAGAGCGAGGAGACACGGGGAGACAGGGGAAATAGAGAAACAAGTTTGACGCTTAAGATTTAAACAAGAACATGGCTTTTTTTATATAGAAAATTATATAAAGGTAGAAGTGGCTATTTATACAGCTGCCTTTTTGATTTCATGTCTAAGACCATATGTAGCTTTCATAAGCCAGTTAATAGAACTTTCTCAAACCCCTTATTATCAAACCTTTAATTAATTCTGAAAAGATTTACACAGAGATAAAACTATCTACCTTCTAATAAGTTTAATGTGCAACCTTGTAGAGATTCAGCATTTAAAGCTCCTGTGAGGAGTTTTTGATGTTTATGAAATGGACTTAGTTTCATATTGAAGCTTTTTTTGTGATGTCCAAAAGCAAATAAGACCACCAGTGACAAGGTTTATGATTTGAATATCATAATTTTACATTTCCAATATTGGCGTGAGGGGGTAGGTGTCAGCGGTGCAGCTTAAAAAACACAATTTCCACATGAAATATCCAAAACAAATGATGTTTCACTGTTAAAAGTCTGCAGGACTTGACTTTCTCAGATGATGCCACTAAAGCATGTATAGGACAAGAGAGGAAAGACGGTTTTGTCCACAGGGGGCGCCAAAATTAATGCAAACGGGAAGTTCCTCACAGGAGCTTTAAACAAAACATTTTTATTATTTTTTTCCTTTTTTTGCATGACCCATTCTGAATCAAATTCCCACACTACTGTTCATTCTGACCATACTTCTAAGATGATATAACAAATCCATAATTTTCCCATTGAAACAAAGTTGTGTGCGGCTAGTTTTGCTAGCAAACAGGTTTATAGTCTTTGAACAGAGCACAGTGAGAGAGCTGATTCACAAGATATCAAAGCAAAGTTTGCATAAAATCTTGTTTTAAAACAAGTAATCAAGGGGTTGATTCTCAATTTAATATAGCTTTTTAATTTGTCGAGCTACCAACAAAAGAACTCAGCATACAGTCTGTGGGTGTGCAGCATTAAAAATTATTTTTTTATCTGAGGATTAGTCCACAGTTTTAGCCACTATCACAATCACATGTTTAAAAACAGCCAAATCAGCTCATGAAAGGTATTTTGGTGTGATTTTGTTCCTCAACAGAATACAAAACAGCATTGCAGAGATCCAAAAATGTCTATTTGGCCATCAAGAAGCGTTTCATGGTCTTGCTTGAAATATCTTTGGTCAAATCCATCCCAAGCTACAGATAGGAGGTCTTTAAAATCTCCATTTAACAAAAATCTTTATTTTAAATAGAGACAGTTATAAACTTGTACTCTAAAACCTTGCTAAAAGTAGGCCCACGTGTCCTGATTTGGTTTTCACAAGTTCACAACACAGTAGTACTTTTCCAAATTTTGATAAACTTAAAGGCTAAATACTTTTAATTCTTTCACCCGAGGTGTTTGTCGGTTGAAGTCTCGTGGGAAGTCAAGTCTCAGTCCTCAAAGAGGCAGTGACCCCATTTGATTTATGAATCGAGTCAACAGTCTGGTTCCTTTTGTCAAAGTGGTTGCTCCTGGGACTTTGCTTGCAGCATACCAACTCACACCTCTTTGTCCCCTCCTGGAGTCACTTTGCAGCCGAGCGTACAACATGAATGGGTTTCCTTATTTAAAAGAAAGACAAACATATGACTGTTGTGTCACCAGCTGATGATGAATGATCAGCCCATCATAACAACTCTCAATAACCCATGCTGCTTAAAAACAATATTCTTTATGTACTTTAAAAAGGGTTGGTGGGGTTTGGAGGGTTTGTTCATACACAAGTTGATTGCCTGGTTTCCAGGCATGATAGACTTGGTGCACTAGGAACTCCCCTGACTCTAAAAGCCTGACCTAGTCTCTAAGAATCCCTTCACGCAAGGGTCACTCGTCATTAGAAGCTTAAAGGAAGTGCCCTGCATAAAAAGTACGGCCACCCAAAGTGGCTGGCAAACACTCTGTTCTTTTCAGGCAGAGTCAAGTCTTTTTTATGTAACCCAGTACAACATTATCAGAGAGGAGACGCTTGGTGAGGATGAAACTTTGACAATATCTTGTGGGTGGAGGGCTGCTGCAGGAGTTGGTGTTTTAGTTTGGGTTGTATTTTGCTCTATTTTGTTTGATAATAGGTACTCTTAGTAGTTCAAGTGAAATAATATTTGGACTATAAAGACTTTGTCTTGTTCGATGAAACATCATGTCCCATATTTTTGTACGTCGTGGACTCAAAAGTGGATGATTATTGGAAAAGTAAACCTCACACTCAAGCACTGGATGGTCTGTTGATAGGATGGCTAGAGGTCAGTCTTCTGAACCATTATCTTTCTGGCCTACTGACTCCAGCACAAGAGGCTCTAAAGTAATTGGCCCCATGGCTCGTAAAGGTCTATGAACTTTTTGTTCCATTGGTTGTCGGAGTTTGGGGGAACAGAGCCACTTTGCAGTCCAGTTAGGCCACTGGAAAAGAAAAGAGATGTTGCCCGAGAACCTATGATCAGTCCTTTATGAGAAGCGGTGAGTTCTGGAGAAACAGACTGAGAGGTTAGATAGGTTAAATGAAAAGAGTGCAGTTTGTTTGAAGAAGAAGTAGTGTAATAAACAAGTTGGAGACAAGAAAGGACTGAAGCAGGACGAACATTGAAGGACAGTGAGAGGAGGAGAATGAATAAAGCTGTCTTTTGGCATCTCTCCCTCTCTATTCTCACATGATGTTACGTAACAGTCATTTTCTGTGTTGCTTTTCCATTATTTTGTGAGTGCTGCACATTTTGTCACCAAGTCTCACAAAAGCAAGAGATCCAGAGGTCAAAAGTGCACTAAAACAGTTCACGCATGTTCCCTTTTCATAGGCAAATTCTGTTTCAGGCTTATTTTACAACAAAGACTGACAGCTACCCTAGTACCACTGGCAGAACACATAGATTTTTTTTTTTTTTTCAGCGCCGGTTGACCCGAATCAGCAAGGACTTCAAAGGAAACGAGAACAAAATGAACGAGAAGTCCTGCAAAAGTATTGTCTTCAACTATAGTCCACAGACTTAAAACCAGAGACAGAAAGCCAGGTCTAGTAATATGTAAAGTTATGCACATGCTAAGACCTGGTGTCTCTGGTGATGAGACGTGTGCCACTTAAGAATGTATCATTAGCGCAATTAAGTATGTGAAGTGAATAAATCAGCTGCACACATACTCATACTAGTCATTAAAGGGGGCAGTACATGCAGCTAGCTCGATCTACAGTCAAAGCTCCACTAGGTGATCCCACTGCCCCCTTTCAGCTTGTAACCATTGGTTGTCTTCAGGTTGGCGTATCATGCGTGAAAACAGACAGCAAAGTACATTAGCAAGAGACTAAAGAGATGTGCATCAATGGAAACAGTCACTTTTACAGCTCTGGGCTGTTTGTTACAAACATTTTCTAGTTTTTATCTCCCGTCTTCATCTGTCAAGGTTTTGTTAACTACCCACCCACCTACTAATGCATTCATGTTATCGACTTTCCAGCTCAGAGCTTGGTAAGTTTGATTGAACCATATACATTAAAGAGAAGATTGATCCCCAACCTTATTATCTAAGGTAGGTTAGTCTGAGTATGAGAAGTTTTATTTAGTGTGATTTAATTCAGGCTAACATGTTCACGTCTGTTAAATTCCAGTTTCAGTCAGACTAAAGCAATAAATCAATGTTTTTTTTTTCTTATCTGCATGTAAACATACTGAGTGGTACAGTCTGTCATCTCTTATCCAGAAGGTCGGGTTTGATCGCAGGTCACCTGTCCACATGCTGAGGTGTCCTTGGGTAAGATACTTCACCCCATACTGCCCCTGCTGGCTGCACCCAGCTGTGTGTGAATGGGATAGCTACTGATGGGTGCTTTAGCAGCCTTGGCCATTAGTGTGTGAATGCGGTGAGAATGGGTGAATGTGACATGAAAGATAAAAGTGTTTTGTAGTCAGGAGGCTAGATAAAATGCTATATAAATACATTTACCACTAAAAGAATCATTCAATAGTCGAGCTAAAGCTTCTAAAGATTATACTTCTCAAGGAAAATGTTTGTAATGGCTGTTTAAATTTTGCTGCTGAGTCCACTCAGTTTCTGCGAGTTGTGTTGAGATCTGGAGTGGGAGGGATGAAGTAGAGTTGTCTTATTTGCATACTGAAAGTAAAGAAGGGAACAGATTTTAATCTTTGACAGCAACAAGATGTCAGTAACAACACCCACAGTCAGCTGTTTGAGTTGGAAGGGAAAAAGAAACCTACATAGAAGTCTGAGTAACCTCACTGATGGTTTTCTGATTGAATACTTGCCAAGCTTCATTGCATAAGTAATTTCAAAATGCATATCAAATGTGTAACGTGTTAGGAAATGAACCTATTCAAAGGAGATACCCAACTTGTGAAAGTCATAACTTTTTGCAGGTCAGACGATTCTATGCCTTGCAGTACTGACGCAATGCCAAGTGTATAAACCTCTTGCTCAATGGACAGCACCCCACATCTTCATATCAACAGCAATTTGTTTGAGCAATTCAACTAGAGAGCCCCAGAACATTTAAACACGGGTCACTTCACTGAGGAAGCTTTAGACTGCATTGATGCACAATTTTCACCATCAACAAAAAGAAACCGCAAAGAGAAGTAAAGAGAAAAGAAGCTAGGGGAAATGCAAGACAAAGAGCCCAGTGCAAAAGATCCCAAACACAGGTTCAACAAACTAGCTGCAGCCAATCCGCTGCATCTATTCAGTCCACTTGAATTCAGCTCCTCTTTTATCCTGATGCAACAATCAGTCTGATGCCAAACAAAAGGTAATGTTTACATTCACAACATTAGAGTGACAGTATTAGGTGATAGTATGAGGATGTGATGGTTAAGCTTAAGTTGCAAATATAAATGCAGGCATGCAAACACACTCACACACACCAACGCCATCTTTCTGCTTCCCTTGAAGAGTCCAATAGCTTTCTTGGCAAGGGAGGCACGATGAGAAGCTACAAACCAGGCCACCCAGTAGTGAGTGAGTTCTGCCAGATAAAAAAAAAGCCCTGGAGAGAAACCAAATCGCTGATATTGATATGCTGAATATTAATACTGTTGGAGACTAGTGCTACTGTGACAGCTTTCACTTAAAAAAAAATCAGCAACACAGACAAAAACAAAACTTTTAAAGTAAATCTGTCCTCTCGACAATATTTAACTTATTTTTACTTCTGAACATTGATTGAGTTTGATTTTGTATGTAAGAATGACAAACTTGTTCAATCCTTGTCCTTGAGATATATCATCTGCAACAATACCAGCAGAGGCTTTGATAGTTTATTCAAGAAAACAAAATTATTGTGATTCTGGATTTTTTTTTTTAAATCTAAAATTGCCACCTTGAGGTCATGCAGGGGTCTGAGTCTTCCCAAACACTTGCATGACCTTGGCCTGGAAGGGTTTTCCAACCAAACATGTCCCAGGTAAGGGTCAGACTGAGAGTGATGAAGAGCTTGGAGATTGGACCTGCTGGATCTCACAGAAAAAGAAGGTTGACACAGCTAGCAAGCATCTGGTGACTGGGTCTCAATCCACAGGGCTTGGCCAGGCAAAGCCAGAAAAAAATGGCATGGACCCATTCAGGGGCATGGCACGCGTTTTAAGCCTTGCACTCTAGCATTCTCTGTGGTGTAATGGTTAGCACTGTTGCCTCACAACAAGAAAGTCCTGGGTTCAAATCCCAGCCAGGTATAATAACAATGAAATACGAAAAAAAGTATAGTATGTGAAAACATGTCATAGTATAGTATGAAAAAAATGTCACATATTACTATAAAGAAGGAACAGTATAGTTTGATGAAAATATCAAAGTTTAAAATGATAAAGATGTCACAGTATACTATGATAAAAAATTTAGTATAATAATAATTTCATAGTAAAGTATGTTAAAAAATGTCAGTATGATAAAATAAAAATGTCATTTAATATGAAAAAAGAGATAGCATAGTGTGATAAAAATGTCATCGCATAGCATGATAAAGATTTCAAAAATTAGTCTGAAAAAAGTCATAGAAATGTTTTTTTTTAAATGTCATAGTATAGAATGATAAAAATGTCATAGTTTAGTATGATAATAATTTCACATATTAGTATGAAAAGGCATGGTTTAGTGTGATAAAAATGTCATAGTATAGTATGCCAAACAATGTCATAGTATAGTATGATAAAATAGTTGTGGTATACTAAAATAATAAATTTTCAATTTTGAGTATGAAAAAAGAACATAATATAGTATAATAGAAATGTCATAGTATAATATGATAAATATTTCACATATAAGTATAAAAAAAAATGTAGAATAGTATGTGAAAACATGTAATAGTTAAGTATGGTAAAAATGTTATGATAGTATACTATGATAAAAATGTCAAATTTTAGAATGAAGAAATCATTGTATAGTTATTTTTTAAAAATTCCACACTAGTATAATAAAAAATTTAAAGAATTCTATTAAAATAAATTTCAAATTTAAGTATGGAAAAAATGTCATAGTATAGTATGATAAAAATGTCACATCATAGTAAGAAAAGTCATAGTATAGTGTGATAATATTATCATAGTTAGTAGGAAAGAAATGTCATAGTAAAATATGTTTAAAACCTAAAGAATAGTGTGATAGAAGGACCCGTCAGACATCAATGGCTCTGTGGTGAAATGGTTAGCACTTTAGCTTCACCGCTAGAAGGTCCTGGGTTCAAATCCTAATCAGGTGTTTAATGATAAAAAAATGGATTAAAAAAAGTTTATAATAACCTAGTTGAATAAAAATGTCATAGTTTACTATGATAAAAAAATCTAATTTTAATATAAAAAATTCATAGTTTAGTGTGATAAAAATGTTGTAGTATACTATGATAATAAATTTCACATTTTAGTATGAAAAATTGTCATAGTATAGTATGATAAAAACGTCTTAGTATGGTATGATAAAAATGTAAGTATGAAAAAAAGTATAGATTGTTGAAAAATGTCATAGTATAGTATGAATAAATGCCGTGGTATACTATCATAAAAAGTAAAAAATTTTAGTATGAAAAAAGTCATAATATAATATGTCAAAAAATGTCATAGAATAGTATGGTAAAAATTTCACATGTAAGTATGAAAAATAGAAGTATAGTGTGATAATATCATGGTTACTAGGAAAAAAATGTCAGTGAAGTGTGTTTAAAAACGTATAAATTAGTGTGATAAAAGGATAAACCAGACATGGGTGGCTCTGTGGTGAAATGGTTAGCACTTTCGCTTCTCAGCAAGAACATTCTGGGTTCAAATCCCTGTTGGTGTTTTATAAAAATAAAAAAAGAATAAAAAAAAATTACATAGTTTGTGAAAAATGTTGTAGTATACTATGATAATAAATTACAAATTTGAGTATGTTAAAAAAGGCATAGCATAGTATGTTAAAATCTTTTGTATAGTATGGTAAAAAAATTCATAGGGTACTATGATAATAAATTTCAAATTTTAGTTTAAAAAAGTCATAGTATAGTATGATAAAAAAGTCATAGTATCTGATAAAAATACATTTCAAATTTTAGTATTAAAAAGTCATAGCATAGTATGTTCATCAATGTCATAGTAATGTATGATAAAAATGTCTCAGTATAGCATGATAAAAATTTAAAATTTAATTATAAAAAATAGTCATAGTATAGTTTGTTCCAAAAATGTTATAGTATAGTATGGTAAAAATGTCATAGTATAGTCTGTTAAATAAATTTACATATAGGTATAAAAAGTCATAGTACAGTGTGATAATGATATCATAGTCAGTAGGATAAATATGTCATAGTATAGTATGTTTTAAAACTTAAAGAACAGTATGACAAAAGGATCCACCAGCCTTAGGTGTCACTGTGGCGAAATGGTTACCGCTTTCACCTCACAACAAGAAGGTCCTGGGTTCAAATCCCTGTCAGGTAGAATGTGAAATACTGTAGTTTGATATAAATGTTCTAATGTGCTTTAATTAAAAAAAAAGAAATCTAATGTATGTATAAAAAGACATAATATAGTTTGTTTAAAAATGTCATAGTATAGCATAGTATTGTCAGAGTATAGTATGATTACAAATTTCAAATTTAAGACAGAAAAAGTTATAGTATAGTATGTTAAAAAATGTCATTGTATTGTATAAAAATGTCATGAAAGTATGAAAAAAGTCATAGTATAGTATGATAAAAAATATCTTTTGATAAAAAAAGTCCTGGTATGCCATGATAAAAAAATTCTAATTTGTGTATGAAAAAATCATAGTAAAGTGTGTTGAAAAATATAATAACATAAATTGAAAAGAATGTCATTCTATAGTATGATAAAAAAAATCCAATTTAAGTATGTCAAAAAAGTCATAACATAGTGTGTTAAAAAAAGTAATAGTGTAGTATGATGAAAAATGTCATTGTATAGTCTGTTTAAAACTTTAAAGAATAGTATGAAAAAAGGATCCACCAGACATAGGTGGCAATGTGGTGAAATGGTTAGCACTTTTACCACACAGCAGAAAGGTCCTGGGTTCAAATCCCAGTCAGGTATATTATGATTTAAAAAAAAAGAATTCAAAAAATAATAGTTTGATAAAAATGTCCTAGTTTACTATGATAAAAAAAATCTAGTTTTATTATGTAAAAAAGTTATAGTATAGTATCTTAAAAATGTCATAGACTCGTATGATAAAAATGTCGTAGAATATGATAATAAATTTCAAATTTTAGTATGTTAAAAAAAAAGTCATAGTATAGTATGTTAAAAATGTCATAGACTCGTATGATAAAAATGTCGTAGAATATGATAATAAATTTCAAATTTTAGAATGTTACAAAAAAGTCATAGTATAGTATGTTAAAAAATGTCATAGTGTCATGGAAAAAAAGACCATGCTGACAAAATCCTCAGCAACAGACTGGTGAGTCTTCAGAAAACAGAATTAAAGTAGAAAGAGAAGGAATTAGGGTCTCAGGGATGTGTATACTTATTATGTTTTGGTCCCTTTTGTGCTTGCTGCAAGTTGATATTTAGCCCCAAGATCTGATCCTGTTAGAGAGGAATTAGTTCCTCTCTAACAGGATCTGAGTACTGAATCCTTTTCCTGAAAACATGACAAATATGAACCAGAGTGTCAGTATTGATGAGTGTCATTCTTACCTGCTTGATGAGCACTGAGGTAATAATTTCATTCAAGCCCCTCACCCTGCACATTTCTCATGGGGGTGGGCTGGGGGGGGCGCTCATAAGACTGATGTGCAATTATACTTTAAGCTGTTCTTAGTTCTGTCTCTCTCCACTCGCCCGGGTCACCGGCCAGCCAGACTTCTTGATGCGTGAGCTCTCATTACATCTTTGAATGCAATGGACCATGGGTAATGAAGACAAACTGAAGATATCATACAAAAAGTTGCTGCTGGTGGTCCTCTCTCTCTCTCTCTCTCTCCGTCTCTCTCTCTCTCCTACTCTCTCCAACTGTCATCTGTCCAACTCCCCCTCTTCAGCTCATCTTTACTTCAAGATTAAATGATTATCAGTCTGGGAAATACAACACCCCCACATCCTCCACTGAATTTGTCATTTCACTTACAGCTTGCTGAAGTCTCGCTATCCGCATAATGGGGGGATGGGGCTGTTATACCGGTGGGGTTTATAGGTAGAACAGTAATCAAACACCTGTCCCTCTGCTGTCACCAGAGAATAGAGCGTGACTGTGACTCTGGACATTACTAGCAGACAGAGAGTGAGCCAGGCTGTTTGTGTGTGGGTATGTAGAGTATACTTTTCTGTGTGAGTGAGGTCCCAGGCATGGTATTATATTACACTTCTAAAGATATCCCTGAAAAACTGCTGTTTAAAACATCTTAAACTCTAAGAGCTTTTATTTCAATCAGCAATATCATCATATTTATT